GGGGGGACCTTAGACCAAGATTGGTTTCGAGGGTCATGAAGGGGGGGGGACACGGGGGGGACTTAGAGCCTGTGAAGATCCTCGAAGCTACATTGGGGGGGAGCCTTTGCATGATTTGGAAAGCAAAGGTCAGAGAGGTAAATCCCTAAGTTTGAGCCCCGATGGAGCCTCTTTGGGCGGATTTTCACCTGTTTTCTTAGGCATATTCTCTACAAACGGGTCAAAAAGCCCTTGCAAGAAGTTGCAACTAGCTTGCTGTAGGAATCGATAGGAACAAAAGTCTCGTAGATGCTCTTGATCAGCGAAAATATTCGAAATTTTTAGCCTTTGAATGGGAGGGGGACTTGAAACCCTCCAAGGCTCAGAGGGCATGAGGGGGGTACTTGGGACTTTAGCCAGCGAGGCAAGTCAAGAAGGGGGGGGGACACGGGTCCTCCATCGAAAAGGGCTCAACAGTTACTACGGGGGGTACAGCTTCAAAATGACCCTTCCCTTATGAAGTAAAATAGCAAGCTGGTGCATTCCACGAAACCGCGCGTCGGGCGACACTGTACGACGTGGCTCTGCGGCATATAAGCATCTCCAGACTGGTGGTATTTCAACATGCGTGGTGTTCGATACGAAAACGTACGCAGAATCCCCCTAATATAGTCCAGACCATGTTTGTGTCCAAGCCCAGACTGGGCCGCGCGGCTGCGCAGATTAAATGTTCCGAATCGTTCGTGGACGCGAGACTGCTGCCGCGAGATACCGTAACGATGTAACGTTTGACCTCGATTTTCCGATTTCTCCGAACAGGCCTACTCTAAAGCTGCCACGTTGCAAGCCAAGGTCGAAATGCGGCCAAGTTGTGGTTTACCCCACTGCCGAGCACTTGACACTGTACAGTACCCCGGGCTCATAATGCCGAATTGGAAAATCAAATCACCCTTATCTGCGATGGACTTCTTCAGAACTGTATGTGAAGGATTTTCAGAATTGATTACAGTGCCCGGAAAGAAGAGTGCTGTGTAGCCTGGTACGCACTGCACAACTACTTGGGGTGCATACCGCAAGGTGGTGTACGGACGACGTTTAGCGTGTGCGCGCAAAAGCACGATCCCTTTCGTGAATAAAGCCATTTAAAATGTTCTACTCCAGACATGCAACTTTAAAATTTTGCCCAGTCGCACCACAGAGAGGCAAGCCCCCGCCGCCCTTCTGGGCGGTCTACCATGTATGTTCGTATACGGTATATTCTAATGCTCAGCTCAGTCCGACCTAGCTGGCATTGAACTCTAGCTGCGCACATAACACATGAATGATCAGCGAGACTACCCGGCATCGTAACCCTTTAATATGGTTCAAAGCAGATCAGATATCTATTGAACAGTGGAATATTTATAAATTGTGAATATGCAGCGCCATAGTACATATGCCCAGGCTCGCTGTGTAATTTGAGACTTTGCAAGGGCTCACAGACGGACAGTAGATCCTCACTACCATGAGCCACATAAACAAGGGAACGTGGAGCTAAGGTTATTGGTTGTCGACAACACTGGTATGCATGTTCGTTTCTATGTGAACCAAATCCAATCAGTCTAGGGCTGCTCTAGAAACAGAAAATGGTGAGGACCGTGACATCCCTATGGCTCAGCGCGAAGATACAGACGATCCTTATCGACGCCGTGATGGCACCTGTCTTTCGGCCTGCATCCCCAAGGCGCTCCACCCTTCCCTTGAAGTCGGATCAATTGTTGGCATCCTTTTGACTTTCAGCAACTCCAACGCTGCTTGCCAATTGACGATACCTGTGACTCGAGACGAAAGACCTTCCCACTATGATACAATCTACTTGGAAGTTCCCGTTATTCTCAATCTCTTACGTCTATCCGGGCATTGCCCATTGAATCCAAAGCTGACACCGTATGAGGGGCGGGCTGCTCCCGACGGTGAAAAGACAACACTGAAAAAAGCCCGGTCTTCCTGCCCGGGGCTGAACCTCCCGACCGATTATTAAGCGGCAGCTTGGGCTGCTTCTGCCCGGTTGATCTCCACCCGGCGCTTGATGTACTCCCCGGTGATCCCCTCCTGGAGCGCGAGGGCGTGCGTCATGTGCCGCAGCAGCGTCTTGAACACCTTTTCCGGAACCGTGACGTCCTGCGGGCAAAAATCCGTACGAAGTGTGAGGAAGGACAGCCGGAAGTCTGTACGTATTGGGAGAGAATCAGGACCGGGGTAAGAGGATGTCGATACAAAATGCGAATCATACGACTGAGGTACTAAGGAAAGTCCAACAAGTGGGTTCAAGACACTCCTTTTCTGTTTTGTCCTCGAAAACAAGTGCCGTAGAGGAAGTTTTTAGTGGCATCGCCATGCAACATCGCAAAGGATTGATTCAAAATCCAAGCAACGGGACAGCGGAGTTCGAGGACGTAACAGACATTCTCGAGGACGAAAGCCGAAAAGTCCGAGGACGTAAACAGACAATCTCAAGGACGTAAACAGGCAATCTCGAGGACTTCACGCACAATGTCGAGGGCGAAACTGACAGTGTTGATGACGTAAGCAGGCAGGTTCGAGGACGTAAGGAGACAAGTCCGAGGACACAAGAGAAAACGCGGTTGCAGAGCAAGCAACCTCGAGGACGTCATGAAGAATGTCGGGACAGGCCGGCTGCCGTTTCCAATTCAAACCTATGTGTTCTTGATAACGACCTGACTGTGAGGGAGTATCACGGCTTCGAAGGATTGGAAGACCCCAAAACCCAAATATCATGAAGACTTTCAGCATAGAAACCGTATACTTGACGTGGCTCTGGCAGGGCGTGGCGGAGCGTGGCAGAGCGTCGATGACTGGTCTCAACCTTAAAACTCAAAACACAGTAATCTGAATCTTCCGAAACCCGAAAGTGACCTGGCTATGATAGGGAGTCACGGCCTTGAAGCGGGTCTCAACACCCGAAAACGTATGTTTAAAGATAACCAAATACCGAGAAACAGCAGAACTGACCTGGCTATGATAGAGCGGCATGGCCTTGTTGAACTGTGGTAGAACGTCATGGCCTTGAAGCGGGTCTCGACACCAGAAACAGATTCTAAAAAATATTGACAACCTAGAAACTTCAGAACTGACCTGGCTGTGGTAGAGTGTCATGGCCTTAAAGCGGGTCTCAACCGTAGAAAACGGATTATAACTCTTATTCAGAAGCCTAGAAGTTTTTGAGAAACCTAGAAACTCCGGAACTGACCTGGCTATGATAGAGCGTCATGGCCTTGATGAGGTCATCCATCCAGAGGCTGCGCGGGTCCGACAGCTCCACCGACGTCGCATTGTACTGCGTCCACAGGGAGCTGTACTCCCGGGGCACGTGCCTGGACAGGGCGAAAGCGAAAACTGACGTCAGAGGGGTCGAACTCGACGTCAGCGACGCTTCCAGGGCCGTCGAAGCATGGAATCTTCACTTGGGTGTCGAGGCTCACCAGAAAAGATGGGCAGAAGGGCCCAAAACATGTCAGAAGAACGGCTGATCGAAAGCAAAAGGGCTCGCTCCGAGCATTTGACTGGTACCATGTGCCTTTAGTGTACTCGAAGTGATTCTACCGGGCCTCAAAAACGTCGCAGCCACGTGGTTGGTCCACGGTGGCGGGTAAGAAGTTGCAGAATTTCGGACAAGCAACCGGAGTTGAGCGGACGAGACGTTTACTAGAACAAAAGGTCATCGTGCGACGTCAGCGACCCCAGCACACATACCGCCGGCCCCAGCTCGCAAGGCATTCTTTAACACTCCTTGAAAAATGCGAAGGGCCCCTTGGCAATGTTACAATAAGAAGCAACGCCAGCGGCCACCAAGAGAACACCAGCGCACAGACACAGCCGGCCGCAGACCGAAAATGTTCGCCCACCATACCATGTAGCACGCCATGCGCGCTTCGGCGATGCTTCTTGAATTAGTGAAATTTAAAGAACCCGAAACCCTCACCACTCCATGTAGGACGCCGCAAGCGCCTTGGGAACGTTTCGGAAAAATCTTAAAGCCAAAAAAGAAGAACCCCTCACCACTCCATGTAGGACGCGGCGAGCGCTTCGGCGATATTTTTGTACTCGCGCCCGACGACCATGCCCTCGCCGTACTCGCCGAAGGGCATGATCTGGAGGATCACCGACCGCGGCCGCATGAACACCGTGTTCGTGAAGCCCGCACCATGGACTCCAATCTGCAATCGTGAAAAGGGGGCGTGAGTTATAATTCAGCATTGAGTGGCGTTTTGCTCACTGTCCGGGTAAAAGAGGCGAGCTCAATGGAAGTGCATAGAACGTGATATCCTAAGCGCCTGGGGATAGTGAAGATGCATCAGACATTCCAAAGTCGGATGCAGGGCGAACACCTCGAGGGACTGCACTTCGCAAAGATCCGCATTGGCCTGAAGCTGATGCAGCCTGGCGGTTCAGTAGAGGCGCAAGTAAAAGGCAACAGCCTTCAGAGTCGCCAACGCCGGCAACTATGCGGGCTACATGACACCAAGAGCGTACACCCACGCAGTCCAAAGGAAGAAACACAAAAAGGGTTTTCTTAGGAATAGACGACACCCCCCAAGCTGTTGCGGTTGAGCACCACAAGCAGCCAGACTGGGGCCCTTACTAATTTCCAAAATCCAAGAACCAGAGGAACATAATGCCCGTCCCACAAAACTGGCACTCACCAGGCCATCACAGTATCGCATGAACTCGACGATCTGGTGCGGTGACAACTCCTCGAAGACGATGTCGAAAACGCCAAAGCCCTCGTCGACGGCGAGCTCGCGCAGCCGGTCGTAGTTGGAGATGCGCCTCGTCTTTTGGCGCTGCACGATGCACAGGTGGGGCACCTTGCCCTTGGGCAGAAACACCTCGTTGTTCTGCGAGAAGAGCAGCAAGGATGTGAATGGGGGTATTCTTATGGGTTTGATTGGGGAGTGCGGTTAGGGATGCACTTGGCAGAAACACCTCATTGTTCTGCGGAAAAAAGCGGCAAGGATGTGATTGGGCATATTCTTTTGAGTTAAATGGGAGCATGGTTGGGAAGGCAATCGCAGCAAAACGTCGTTGGTCTGCGGTAAGGGAAGGAGGGGATTGAGAGGGTGTATGATTGTGGGTTTGATTGGGATTGTCTTTTGGAATGCGTCTGGGAGAGACACTCCGTTGTTCTGCGAGAAGGGAAGGAGGACGATGAGAGGGTGTGTGAGTCTGGATTTGATTGGGAGCATGGTTTGAAATGCAATTGGCAGAAGCACTTCGTTGTTCTGCGGGAAGGGAAGGAGGACGATGAGAGGGTGTATGATTGTGGATTTGATTGGGAGCATGGTTCGAGATGTGGTTGGCAGACAGTGAAATGGTGTGATAGTATGAGGTTTAATTGGGAGTGTGGTCGGGAGTGTGACTGGCGGATACTCTTGTTCTGCAGAACGGGACAGAAAGAGAGTGCGACGGGGCATGCAAATGATCTGCGGTGGGAGTGACTGGGCGAATGATTCAATGTGTGATTAGGAATCACAAATCACTCATTGTTCAGCAGGGGAAAGTGGCAAAAGGAGTGACCTTGGCTTCTCCACCTCAAAAGCATGCGGATAATGTGGTGACGAATTCGATACGCAGTTTGATTATCAAAACACGTCGTTGCTTCGCAGAAGGAGGGCACATGAGAACCGCAACCGAATGAGACATGCACGGACGCTTGATAAGCGACTTTCAAGGGGCTTACATTCGGGTCCCACATCCAGTCCGGCAGGTTCATGGACTCCATCACCTTCAGCGAGAAGTCTCTGAACCGCACACCCGCTTTTACCTGCAGAAAAAACCAGCAAGGGTAAATCCAAGTAGCTATAACAACCTACTAAAGCCCTGCGACAAGTTGACCTTGCATGAATTACGTTTCACTTTGGCAAACGTTTGTGCTGCTAGCTAGTTAAGGGCAGTTGAGCGCTCCAAAATGATCAAGCTCTCTGTGCACCAAAAGCAATCGCAGCACAGCCTCAGTAAACTCGCTTCAAATGCAAGAAGCCCTTATCAGACTAGTGCAGCTTGAAACTCTCCATAACGAAAGACCACCTGTGCTTCCTAAAAGCACTTTCACACTGTTAAGCCCCCGATTTCGAAAGCGCTTGCATTCTCTCCCAACAGCAGTTTCTATTCCAGAACCCCGAATCTGACCCCACAAACGAAGAATCAAACTCACCTCATCACGCTCCTTCTTGCCCCCGTACTCGTCGTACAAGCACAGGTTGTGCTTCAGCCCGATGATGAGCTTTGGGAAGCACTCGACCTCCTGCGGGGATCCCTCCGCGTCCGTCTCGCTGTTCATGAGCCGGACCGGGTAGTTTGTGAACGCGCCCGCAAAGCTCTCGTTGGGGGCGCCCCGGAACCACCATGGGCCCTTCAGATCAGAAACCATCAGGACCACCTCTCGCTGGAGTCCCTGCAACGTGGAAGAGGTGACCGAATGAGTCTTCATTGACTTGGTCAATGTGGGACGCCTCTTTGTAAACAGAGGAACTTGGAGTTCAGACCCTAAACTTAAAGAAGAGTTGATGAAGCCTCTAGGTCTTGCATGCATTGCTTCAAGGGTTGCAAAGGGATAGCAAACACAAAGATTGCTGCTCAGAGGGTCGTCCCAAACATGCAACCACTTTTCAAGAGCTGCATAGCTCTTCGCGCCGAACCCAAGGTCAGCGCAAGCAGTATCTGCCCTCTGCACAGAGATTGACAATGCCGCTGCAAACAGACAGGGAGAAAGCTCACTGCACCAAGTCAGGCACCTGCAGCAAAATGAGCCAGCAGAAAAAGCGCACCTGCGTCGTCTGGAACAGGGGGATGAAGACCTCATTGAAGTCATGGAAGATACCCCCGCTGTACCCCCCCGCCGAGAAGAGCACCGCCGGCACGTCGCTCGTTTTTGTGCACTCCAGCGCGCTGCCTCTCCTCCGGAAGCGGGGGGCTCGTTTCTTCCCATCACCTCCCTTCGCCGCTCCCCCTCGGAGGGCTTTCAGGTGGTCCAAATCGGTGTTCTCCTCATCCGGGTTCCCCCCATCAACATCTACCGAGTAGACCTCCTGCATTGTAATCGTGTCCATGACCGGATCGTCCCACTTCCGAGGGTACGGTTGCACCTGCAGCAGCCCCCGGGGGGTCTCAGGCCGCCGAGCGACGAGCACGATCTCACCCGTGCGGTAGTCCACTCGTACGTCCCCTTGGATCACGCAGTAGTCCGTCAACTCCGACGAGCGGTCGCACTCAAACAGCTCGAAGTCAGGCAGGGTGTCGTTTGCGTCCGCGATTTTCCCCCCTGCGCCGCCCCCCCCCATGAGAGTGGCACCTATCAGGTCAGTGTTGACCATGCCCCAAAGCTCGGGAGGCAGCCCCCCTCGGAGGCCTCGAGGTGCAACGCAATCCCGTGCAATGTGGTGCGCGACAGAGAGGAATGTGTACCAGATCGGGCCGACAATGAACGCGCACAGGACGAGACCGGCAAAGAGGCTTGGGCGCGTCTTTTGGCCCTGTAATGCAGCAACGACAGGGCCTGTGAGCAGGGCCAGGAGGGAGGACGCCTCCCTTGGCTTCTTCATCTTGCGCTTCCGGCTGCAGCAGACTCAAAATGCTGAGGCAGAGGCAGAGGCTTTTCAGGTTGCAGCACTGTGCTTGTCCCTCTGGCTAAGCGCCAAGCAGAAGTTGTTGATTATGGTTTGCAAGTGTTCCTAGGCTGGTCAAAGATCAGTGCACTTCAGCTCTGCTTAGCTGCTCGAGTGAGGAGCAGAAAGCAACTCAGCAACCTCAACAGGACAGCCGGATGAGCGGCTATAGCGATGTTGTTGTCAACAGCGCTCTGTTTCCAACACCCTTGCATGTCAATGCTTGCGATTGCCAGCTATTGCTCAGTATCTTTGAGTTGCTTGAATATGCTTTTGCAACTGAAGAAAACGAGACTCCTTGTGATAAATGTGGGAAGAAAGCTTCTGGATGCGGAATACTTAGGCACCGCTGCACACCACCAAGCACCCTGCGAAAGGCTACCACCGCAGGTACCGCCGCAGATGCAGCTTTCTCAAGCGGCCGTGCAAGGAACGCCTTTCGAGCTGCTTTTGCTGGGAGGGAAGGAAGAATGGCCAGCCGTGAACTTCTGAATCTGAGGTGAGAGCTGACTCAAGAGTCAAGACTCGAGTTGAGGCAAGGAATATGTTTGAGTTGGAGACTGGAGTCACCAGCTCACGAATGTGCATGTATGATTCATTGTCTGAGACACTGTACGGACGGCTCTTGCATGACGGTGACCACGGCCTGTTTTAACACTGATATATCAAGAAAGCAATAAACAGATTCATTCTGCATCTCAGTGTCAGCTGGTGTCTCGTGACGGTGCGCCCGGCAGCGGGGCCGGTCAACCGTCAACGACTTCAAACTTCGGAACTAGCCGTTGTCTACACCAGGTCGATGTGCATTGTGATTGGCTTCAAGTTTGTTCATTGTCGAACTAAAGAAGGTACAGTATGGTCAGAACTTATCACACTTGCTGAAATGGTGCTATAGAGACCGTGAGATGATATTGCAAATCTTGAAAACGGACGGCAGGCAGCCGCCCGCAGGATTTCAGTCTTGCTGGGAAGATATTCCTTTTTGGCGGGTGCCACATTGCTCACAGGCTGGGGCGTCAGATTCAATTTCAGGGCGCAGATTCAGTTCTTCCTAGGCTTCAACTTCAAGGTGTTGCAGGCAGGGCCATCTGCATTGTCCAAAGAGCCAGCGGGATGATGGCGTCCACAGCCGTCTGCGCAGGGCGTGTTGCCATCCCCCTGGGTGTCTCCCTCCCCAACCGCCAGCATGCGTCGCCCGCTGCTACTCCCTGTCTCTTCCAAAGGAGCTGCGCCACTCTGGCTGCATGCAGAAGGGCAGGAGTCGAGCGCAGCTACCCCAACTTGAAGGCAAAGACGGGACTCGCAAGGAGCTCATTCGTTGGATCGGGGATCAGCCTGCCGTTGCTAAGGCTCTCCAAGCCTGTTCGGGGTCAGATTGTCGCGCAAGCGGCGGCTGGGGATGCTAGCTCGGATGCCCTCGAAGAGAAGAAGGAAGAGGTTGCAGTCAAGGCCGCTGGTGGCGCCAAGCTGGGCCTGATCTTCGGTCTCTGGTACTTCAACAACGTGGTGTTCAACATCTACAACAAGAAGGTCCTCAATGTGTTCCCCGCGCCCTGGCTCACATCCACGCTCTCGCTAGTCGCAGGCTCTTCCATCATGGCCGTCCTCTGGGCAACAAAGCTGCAGAAGTACACCGAGGTGGACGGAAAATTTTTCAAAGCGCTGGCACCGGTCGCGCTCTTCCATGTGATTGGGCATGTGGCAGCCACTGTCTCCATGAGCAAGGTACGTGGCAAATTGCTCTGCTCTTTGACAATGCATGCATGTGCTTCAATTGTCAGCCTGCACGCTCAGAGATCTCATGGTGATACCTCTGCTGGTCAGTTCTGGCTTGGTGAACTCTAATTAAGAAGATCATCCATCGGCAATTTCTGAGAAGCGCAGGCCGGTGAAACATAGCAACATTGAAAGCCACCGCCGCCGGTAGCCTTGCGATCCGTGAGACTTAGTACCTGTAAGGTGCAAGAACAGTGTCCTTTCAATCAACAGCTGCTTTTTGCCACCAGAATCTAAAAGAGGACAAATGATGCTGAATGGTACACGAGCGTTAGATGCAATATTTTGATGGTAATTTAGATCCTTTTGAGGAGGTTAGCCAGGTTTTCACATTTTTTGTCGTTCTTACTTTTTCCAAGTTCCAATTGCGTGGTGGAGCGGACGGCGGTATATATTTAAACAGTGCTGATTGCTCAAATATGTGTAGCCTCTGCAGATTGTCAATCTTGCTGAAACCTATTTGAAACAAGAGGCGTATCAAAACCTCATTCGAGGGGTGTCTCTTGATTCTTCACAGACTGTTCGCTGCAGCCTGATTATTGCTAGGGTTCCATGTGTTCACCATATGAGGAGCATTTGGCCACCCCCAAAACAACGGCCGGTCTTTGTACTGACGCTCTTCAATGTGTAGGTTGCTGTGTCCTTCACGCACATTATCAAGAGCTCGGAACCCGTCTTCAACGTGGCGCTCCAGGCGCTGTTCCTCGGTCAGAAGTTCCCGGCTGCCGTGTACCTGTCCCTTCTGCCAATTGTGATTGGTTGCTCGATGGCGGCCGTGTCCGAATTGAGTTTCAATGCTGCGGGCTTCTGGGGCGCCATGATCTCCAACCTGGCTTTTGTGGTTAGGGGTATCCTGTCCAAGGAGAAGCTGAAGGTAAGAAGTAAAATACATTTTCCTGTTTGGAGTCAGCCGACTGGTTAAGGCCACAGGGTTTCTAGTGCTCGAGAATTGCTAAACCGTAGCCATTGCGAGCTTATATCTATTGAGGCTGGTTGTGTTTACATGGCGTGGCGTTTGTGAGCTTTAAGCTGGAACATGAAATCAGCTCAGATCGATGAGCAGACTGCGATGTTTCAGGTTGATCTGGCCTAGTGCTGGTTTGTCTTCTTCTTCCATTGATCTCGCAGCAGCCTGGAGGACAATGTTTCCCTGAGACTAAGTGCCCTTTGCGATGAGCTCCAGCAACTTTGCGATTGGCTGTGAAGTAGGCGGTGCCCCAAACACATACTGGCAGTGGAACCGTTGTAATCTATACGAGCTGAGTTGCAGACAACTGACAGCCTGCCAGCTACTGGTGCTTGGCAAGCTGGCGCACCCAGGTGTTGCGGCTGGAGGCCATTGAGTCAAAATGCTCACCACTTGAGCCAGATTCAGGTCACATGTACGTGAACTCACTTGCGACTTCTTCAACGCCCCTCATGCTCCTCCTGCAGGACTTCCCCGAGCTTGGTGGCATCAACTTGTATGGGTGGATCAGCATCCTTTCGCTTGTTTACCTGCTGCCGTTCGCAATCCTGATTGAGGGACCGACGTGGTCGTCAGCCTGGAGCACCGCAGTTGCCAACATCGGGAGGGATAAGCTGCTCTGGTAAGTGTCAATGACCTCGACAATGTTCTTATAGCAAGCCCCTATGATAGGAGATGACAGCAGGGTCCCTGTTCTGGGTTCATGCTCCGCCCGTTGTCCGGCTGCGGTGTTTGTTGTGTCTTACATGGTCCGCATATCTGCCTGATACCTTTGCTTTATTCTGGATATTTCTGTCAGTCTTCTGCAAGGTAAGGGGGAGTTTTAAACTGCCAAATGTAGCAGGCATCAAAGAGCAAAGCCATATGATTAGGCCTATAAAACTTGATTATACTTGAAAGTCAGAGCACTAGAGTCTCGAGGACCGACCTTGATTACCTGTGTCGGCTTGGGCCCTCGGGAATGCAGAACCAGCATCTTGGCTGATGGCGGTTTTGCTTTGAAGTCCTTCTTACAACCTTTTTTTTGGCCAAGAAACGTTTGGCAGCCAAGTAGTCTGGACCTCAAACAGAGCATCGAGCTGCGCAAATGGAATGCTTTGCTTGGACTGCAGTTTGGATCTTATGTTCAAGGCCTAGTTTGCTCCTGCGAGGGCGCAAGTCTTCACCTGAGCATGGGAAGTGTTTATTGCATTCTCAAACACTCTCGACCTTCTGCTCTACTTGGAGAGCTCATGGAACCGATGGTATTTGCTTACAGGTGGATCTTCCTCCAGAGCGTCTTCTACCACCTCTACAACCAGGTTTCGTACCAGGCACTGGACAGCATCAGCGCCCTCACCTTCTCCATTGGAAACACCATGAAGCGGGTCGTTGTCATCATCTCCTCAGTCATTGCGTTCAGGAACCCCATCCTTCCGATGAATGCTGCCGGGTCTGCCATTGCTATCTTGGGTACTTTCTTGTACTCACAAGCAAAGGCCGCGCCAGAGGCCCAGACCGACGTCCAAAAGAAAGAGGCTTAAGAGGAAATTGTAGCCACGCATTTTGACGAAATGGCTGGTGGCATTAGTTTGACCTTCGTTTGGTTCATCAAGTATATTCCGTCACAGTGAGGTTGCAGCTCCTACGCTCGGAGATGGGTGCAGAAGGTGGTCGTCGTCATTAAGTGCTAGACTTTACATTCAATTGATCTGAGCACGCCAGTGTCACACGCAAACATTTGCAGCGGTAGGTGGCAGTCTTGCTTTTGAAGGCGTAGCAATTATCCTATGGTGTACTTTTCCATGCACCGTGTGCATATATAGCCGTGCAATAAGAAAGTCCCAATCGAATCTAGCAATTGCTGGAGGCGAGAGCATCACTTCGCGTGTGAAGAGTGAATCGAGTCCGACTTGTGATTGTTCACAACCTAGTACCAGTCTATCGTCTCCAGACATCCTTTTTTGGTCTCGTTCGTAACACCACAATTGGTGCGGCTTTCTCATCGTATAAAGAGAAAGTGTTTGAGGAGATCGGGATGCTTATTTTTATTGGGACTGTGTCAAACCTGATACAAGTGGACACTGCCCGTTGCACACACTTGCGTGATACTGATCCCCCGATCAACATGGCGCAGTCAATACCGATTGTGCCATCGATCATAATGAAGAACTTTGGTCTCGATTTGGGCCAAGTTACCGCCCGACTTCATAACACAGGTTCGCCTCCCTGTCTTTTGAAACCCTTCAAAGGGGTTCGCGAAATTGCAGGTACGTATGCGGTATATAAGCAGGGAGCTTGTGTGAGATAGTGCGAGACGGTCAGAGTCTGTAGTATCGGAAGGCCGGGTTGACGCAATCCACCGAACCGTCTAACATTGACGCCTACGCCTTCCCATAGGAATGCAACGCGCTACGCTTAATGACGCTTAGTGACAAAAAAGGAAGCCACGAAAGAGAAACTGTTTCAGCACGCCAATCGACTTCGGTGTCATTGAAGCAGAATTACCGTCCACAAATTTCACAGAGAATAAGGCACTGAGAAGTGACACTGACACTGACAGCTGCCACTGCAGGCGTTGGCTGGTGGAAAAGCCTGGATGGATTTGAGCGAGATTTTGGCTTGCCTTGGGACGATCCCGGGCTCCAGAACCTCAAAGTTACTAGTTAACCCCCAGACCTGTGGGCACTCTGTGATTCACAGCCACACCTTTTTGACACTGAAGATTTGGCCGCCAGCCTCACCACAAGGCCTCCAGAGAGGCCAGACTCCAGAGCCCGGTCCCAATGTGTCATGCCCGGGGAAGGACCCAAGTTCCAACATCCATGTACGTGCCCGCAAATGCCGGAATTTTCTGTCTCCTTCTCATGCATGTCCGTTCTCTGCTTCTCTCTGTTGCTTTGACATGCTCTCGCTTCTTCCCATGGCCATGCCTCGAAACTACCTTTATTCACAGCTCCGCGCAGCCAAGAAGAAACCTCCGACGCATGCTGGCAGTGAACAGGGGTGTGCCACGGGGCGGACGGCCAATGCCTGTTTCAGGAGATAGTACTTTCTTTTTGCATACTTAAGCATCCACAGCTGTGGCGGCCAGAATGAACTTCGGGTTGCGGGGTTCCCGGGGGGACCTCGAGGCAGGCACACTATCCCCCCCAGAACGAGGGGCGACGCGAGGGTCTCCTCTTTTTCCAGGTGGCGCCAGCAACAGGCCAGGACCGAGGCAGTCGAACCCCGCTGCGTTCCTGGTCACAATCCTGCTCCTATTCCTGGTTCTGAACTCGCAGCAGGTGTCGCCGAACTTTCTGCTGTGGGTGGGAGTAGGCGTCTTCTTCATGGTTACAAGCCTCCGCATGTACAGGCAAGGTCATAATTGGCCTTAGAACCCTAATTTAGTTGGGGAGGTGCTGGATTGTTGGACGTTCTGGCAGTTTGTGTTCTTTCTTGGGCTTTGTGTTTGAAGTTCAGCTGATTAGCGCACTAAGATGAATGGCTTACATCCACTTACAACTTGAATTCCTTCCGACATTCCATGTTAAAGAAGGGGAGGGTAGCCCATTATAAGTGTCAGAGTTATGGGAGGTGGAGCGCAGATTGAAGCACAAAGTCGCCCCGACTCATAGTTTGCCAACCTGGCCTTTGTCGAGGCTTGGAGACTTACATGAGCAGCTGTAGGACAGCTGTACCTTCTCAGGATATTTGGAGAATTCGAGACCTCACTTTGTCAGCAATTGATAATCTGGATTTTTGCAACCTGTAAGAAGATGAAATGGGCATGGGAGGGGGAACTCAGTCCGGCTGGAGTCAGGGGTGGGGAGTGAGAGCAGCACTGATTGTCAAGAACCGGGGATTTGATGCAAAGCACCAGTTGTGCCAGACATGAATCGGACTTTTGTCAAGTACTGTTGTATTAGTCAAGTACTGTTGTAGGATTGCAGTGGTTGGGTCCCTTTGAGCATGATCGCTGAAATCAATGCATGAGCAATGAGCTCCATGGGGGATGTCACCCTCACACCCACCACCCCCTGCACTGAAAATTACCAATGTCTCTTAACGGACTGTCTCGAAACCGACCCCCTTCCCCCCTTTTGTCAAGGTGACGCAGTGGTCCTCTTCCCCCATCAGCCACCTAGCACCAATATGGCGCAACCAGGCATGGCGGCTGTCCTCTTAAGAATCCATTCCAGTTCCAAACAGTCCCATTGACCTGTTTCACCCTTGAACCCTCTCCTCTTAATCCCATTTCCCCCCACCCTTGCAGCCTCTGGCATCAGGTCCAATCGCAACTAGGCGGGGCGACCGTTTTTGCCGGCGACCAGCTGCGCATGAGCCAGGGCATGCAGCTGTGGAGCCTTTACCGCGGGCCGCGCGACGCCTTCACCGGGCTGCGCTTACAGCTGGCGCTGCTCGAACGTGACTTTGATGAATTAGACTATGATGCACTGCGGGCGCTGGATCCGGACAACCCACCGGACGTGCGCGCATTCTCTGAGGTAGGGGGACGAGACAATCCTTCCATGTTTTTTTAGTCCTATCTTATATCTATTGCTGCTTCCTATGCTCTCTTTCTTTCTGATTCTGGGATTGGCATTTGCTTGGGAGTGAACCGCGAAAGTGCAAGGTAATGTTTTGAAACGTGCTTTGAACCAGAATGTAGTTGCAGTTGCAGGCGCTCTGGGCGCTTGATCTGAGCGAGTGCCCCAATATCTCGTCCATGATTGGGCCGCTTGGTTACGAAGAAAAAGCTAAGATATCCAAATATCAGTCGATTTGACTGCCGGATCAATTGCAAACAAAGCGGTGATTGCCTGTCAGGGCAGCCCAGCTTGCAACACCTGGCGTACGCCCTTTAAGTCATAGGCCCTGACCTTTGACTGCCCTTTCTTGGTTAGAAGTTTGATGGGGCTATAAATGCGTCCGTTGTGCACTGATGTTCCAAAGGAGCGAAAGATAGGACTTGTGACAATACAAGACCGATGTGTTGGGTGCTATGAGCGAGCGTACATTTGCTGTTTCATTGGCCCTCCCTGAGTTCGCTACATACGATTCTAAAGACGAACTGAAGTTACGAACGGGGGAAGAGCCAGACCCGTCCGAAATGGGGGGCAGCAAAGTAAAGTCGGAGCTTTGTTTCTTGGGATTGACCTTCCCACCTTTGCTGATACTCTCTTTTCTCATCATGGCAGGCCGAGATCAATGCCCTCCCCTGCTACCCCTACAAGACCCCCCCCCCTCCCTTGCCCGCCATTTCAGACCCCCTCCCGGCTGACCCCGCAAAGGGGGTCTTCGGAACGCAGGGCACTGACCCCCCCAACGTGGACGAGTTGACGTGCAGCGTGTGTTTAGAGAATGTAACGGAGGGGGAGCTGGTGCGAACGCTCCCTTGCTTACATGGGTTCCATCAAAAGTGCGTGGACCGGTGGCTCAGGCAACAAGCGACGTGTCCCGTGTGCAAATTCAAGTTGGGGACAGTTAGTAGCCCGGGTTAACAGCGACCAGAATGTGGGTGAAGACAGGGGTCAACTTGGTTTACGGTAATTAGTGGTGAAGGGCGTGTTAAGCTCCGGTGAAGAAAGCGCCAACTGAGCAACGCTGGCTCAGATGCGCCTAGCGGTATTGAGTTTGTTAACCTGGTGTTGGCAAGGGCCCATTTGACCTTTATTTTTCCATGAGGATTGAGCTTTGATTAATGCTGGGTTTCGACGGCGACGCTTGGGGCGGGTTGAGCGGCTGTAGTCAAGGATTTGAAATCTGATGGTTACATGTGCGTTGAGGGCAGTGGAAAGAATGCAGAGGCGCGCGAGCAGCAAGCGCTGCAGCGCAATTTGGAAAAATTTGCAGGGCAATTGGGTCCGTTGTCTACAGGAATCTCTTTCGTGGAACAGGTGTCGATTCTGCTCGAGATTAACTGCACGTGCGTCTATAAAAGAGGAGGGTTGGCTGTGGATTCCAAACAGCGCGGCAAGACTTAGGTAGGAAGAGCCACAGAATTGCCTGATCGTTGCATGAAATGTACAATAAACCTTATAGTCTCTCCAATGGGAGCTGAACAGATGAATCGCGGGTTTGCTAAAGGCCGTGCTGTACAGGACAGACAAGTACGTGATTATATTAAACTGTCTTCGTTTTACTTTCGGCCGAATTGGAGAATCAGTCCTCCTGTTGCGAACATAGTATAAGAGTTGTCAAGCGAGCAACCGAATTTCCATGAGTTCTGCCCTCGCAGATTCCGATACTTTGGTTCGACTTGATCAACTGCTGATTCATGTGGAAACAATTTGCCTGAACACGTCCATGAAGCTGTAGTTATATCCCGCGCACGGTTTCAGGCAGTGCATCAACGCGCAATTGCCCGCGTCCGGCCCTACTAATGATATGCATGTTTGCAATAGATTGGACGACACAGATTTAGAAACTTTTTGGGTTTGCATGCACTGCGCATGGTTCATTGCGGAGCGGCTCGCTAGCCCCTACTAAGTCATATCAAATTTGCCAAATTGGATCCTACTGGCACCATAGCGTTGTTGAAGTAGCTTGCAACCCCGCCCCTAACTCCGCCCGGTTGCTTGATGGAGAAGTGGTCGGGGCATTTCAGCAAGATTCGTTTGCAGGATAAGGTCCATTCAGAAACCGCCGCGTGTCGTAGGTCGGAATCTTGGTGTTAGGGGCGGCTGGGCCCTTCAACTTTGTAGGCCGAGAGCTAATGTAGCTACCGGCTAGACCACCGGGCACCGGCACAGGCTGTATGCATGCTTATTGAGCTGCCCGGTCCAAAGTGCACCGCGCTGTTTCGACCGGCCTAGCTGTTCCCAACTTCGGAACTTTCAACTGGAGTAGGTGATACCTAGGTGACGCCGACCCCGAGTTTGAAATGGGAGTGTCCTCTTCGACTGAGCGCGCAAATGTTACGAAGTCGCGTGCAACCGAACTTTAAATTCTACACCAACCGTAGAGGCTTGACCGTGGAATTCGGTCAACCGTACGGCCATACTGAATTTTCTGACATGGCTGTAAAATTGGCAAGTTCACCGCGCGCCGCGTGGCCAATATTCAATGTCGTAACGTACGGCGGTTCGATTTGCCAAGAGTTTCGTGCACAACGGGCGCGATTGACACCATCGAAACTCCAACATTTGGCTGAGGTTCCGCGCACCGTCGATACGAATATGTACGGCCAAAATCACCTTATAATGCAACCGAATCGACTTTCCAATCTGGCAGTGATGGCTTCTGCGGCCTCCGAGTTAGGGGCGGGGTCGCGACGTTCTTCAACAACGCTATGCACATGTGTTACGCGGCCGCCTATAGCATCAGATCATTAGTAGGGCTTGCTGCATGAGCAGATTTTATAGTAAAGATTTCGGCGCGTATACCAGATTGAAGTAGTTGCATGGAAACTTATATCGGACTCAGGTTATTCCTGTACCTTTCACGCGGCCGTGTCACATAGTTCCGTTCCCATAGATCGAGCTGCTAGGCAACTATTGCCTCGCCACATATATATGAGGCTTGAGCGATTGTCACGGTCATGTCTGACACGCATCCGTCATGTGCGCCGGCCCGGCATGTGCACATCCAGACCTCGTCCGACGCCTGCTCACGCCTGTTCACGCTCCAGCATGCAATACATGTTCGAACTTAATGCACGGAAGTCATCACATATCGGACACTGACATAACATAATATGAGAAGCGAAAATGTGAAGAATTCCCTGGGCAGGCTCTATATATGTGAAGTTTCTTCGAAAAGTACTTGCACTGCATCAGCTTAACTTAGCTTTTCGAGTAGATCGACAGCTAGTCAATTGTTTGCATATGGGACCCAGATCAACCATTACGTATGCAGCCTAGGCGGTTGCGAGCTAGACGTGTTCGCCGACACGCATGTCAGAGGGCTTCTGCATGATGAGTTAACCACATACCCACGTACAAACCCTGCACATCCAGGGCTGCGCCGCATACCACTGCACTTAATAGTCATGCTAACGACTCGTGCTGGAGCGGAGCAAGCAGACTCACAAGCACCAAACAAGAACGCCATTCCTGGCGCAGACTGACCTTGCCGACAATTTCTTTTAGACTTCGTCTGTTATTTCCTCATCGCCTTGTGTGTTTCTCGTTTTCTAAAGCGCTCAAGTACCATGTCGTCTGTAGCAGCTAACCCTTTCTCCCCACTAGCGTTGTGAGCCTTCCCTTGAGGCGGCCCTGCAGACAATTGATTCTGAAAAATCAACCGAAAGCGCGACGACAGCCATGGAGATGGAAGAATGGGACACAGTAAACAAAGCAGTAGGTGGCGAAAGTGCTGAGCGTTGGAAACCGTACATCTACTCAAAGCGCTGCACTTAGTCCATAGATGAACTACCACCCTTACATCAGACTTTGTCAAACATTACCACATTCTCGAACCAAGTCGCATGATGGAACAGTTGCCGAGTAGACTTTCTCAAACACCGCCAATTACTACGAAAAAACGAAGGACGAAGCGGCATGAGATCCTACCTCGCCGGTTGTTCGCAAACTCCTTCCCTCGTTGGTGGTAGTCTGTGCTATAGTTCGCGGGTATGCTGGAGCCAAGCCTGCAGAAGAATCGCTCATCCAATTCAAAGAGCTCTTTTTCTGTCAATGTGCTTACCCACCTCGATACATAACAAGACCATACGCATGCCAGAACATGCTTTGCAATGGCGAGGTAACGCAACAGTCAAGAAGGTGAGACGAGAATAACGGGTTTAGAGTCGCGATAGATGGGGTCACCTGCTCTTGTCCCCACGACTCTGCTCCGCTAATTGCTTCTTGGCTGCCTCCGTTTCTTCTATGTTTTTGAGCTTGTAACTGGACAACAGAGAAGATACCGGGTTAGAATCCACTTTGCAAAGCTTCAAACGAGGTCCAAAATGGCCGGACATATGTTGAGGTCACTATGAAGGCGCAGTTTGGCACCAGCCTATTGCGGGACTGACTTCGAGAAGTCCCGCATGGTCGGTCAGAGCTTCGGGGTTTGTACGGCTTACAGGCGTTCTACCTCACTTGAAAGAAGCTGCCTGTAGTCATGGTATAAGGGACTAGTTTGTTAAGGGCAAAGGACTAATTTTCTTCGGAGAACGTGTCTCGAGTCTTGTAAGGGTCTTCAGGTTTGTCCGGCCTGCAGGTGTTCTGCTTCAGCGTAGAAAGCTGCCTGTGATTCCTCATTAAAAGGACTTGTTTCTTAAGGCAGAGGATAATTTTTTCTCCAAAGAGCCTGTCTCGAGCCTTTTGAAAGACTTCTACAGGCTGAGGCTCTCAAAGGATCTGAAGACAGACCCGCTCTTTTGCATCGAGGAGCTCTGAAGAAGGCAGTCACAGATCTGAGCTGGAAAATGATCTTGTGCCGCTTTTGCCGAAGTAAGAGAGTCGAGAAGCTACACCCAACCACGAAAAGCAAAAGGAATCTATGTCTGTGAGAAAGTCGACGGAGACAGGATAAGAGGAACCATGCGAGGTAAGGTTGCGCATCGACCGAAAACCTCCGAGGTCATGCCAGGTTTTTGAGCCAATCAGAGGCCTGCTGTTCATAAATATGGGTTTGTAAGAGGTTTGCAACACTGGGGTGATTGTGTCGCCTATAAGTATCAAATTAGCATCTTTTCTGCTCAAAGAAGCTTTGTCGGCAACTGCCACTACTCATGGCCATTGCCCATGTGCTTTGGATAGAGCACTTTGGTGCAGAATCGGGTGATATAGGGCGCACATATGTGGAAGGTTTGCTGCAAACCACTACCGAAACCAGACTTTTCTGAACCACGTGGTCTGACAACATCAAAGTGGGGAGTGGTAGGTTTTCGGTCAACGCGCAACCTGAAACGACAATTTTGCACGAGGCCAAAAGTGCGAAACGGCAGGTGCTCACTCTACAGGCAATTGGACCTCCACAATCCCGGTAGTCCATGAGCTCCCCAGATCGACGTCGCCCCTCTTCCTGACCTGCATGCCGGAAAGCGCCTTTTAGCAATCACGAATTGTCCCTTCTCAGAACCATGTATAATCGTGTTGATCAAGATAGGACCAGTTGCACGACAAATGGCCTCCGAACTGTTGAACTTCCTTCAGCCGTGGGATCCTGGGCTGTACAGATTGATGACCAAATGTGTATAAAGTTGCTTACTCAAATCTCGCAGTGAGAATTGAATCGACCGGTGTGCAATTTCAGTTCCATACACTTTATCACGCTCTTTCAACGCGCTGGCTGAGACCTCTGTTGTATTGCAAACACTCTTGAAGGACAGGAAGGGCCTGTTACACGATTACCTCCAATTCAGACGAAACAGGCACAGGGCGCCTTTCGGCTTCGGACAGGAGCGGAATTGGGGCCCAATCGGACCAATCCGCTCCGGAAAAGCGTTCGGACGTACCGGAGCTAGGCCCCGATTCGAGGCCGGTTGACAGAGAACAGGAGCCGATTCCCGCAGGTCGAGCCGGTTCCCAAGGACCGGTCCCTGTTCTTATGGACCGGCCTCAAAACGGGGCCTAGCTCCGGTTGGTCCGCCCCTTTACCGGAGCGGAATGCTCCAAGCCGGCCCCAAAAGCCAGCGTGCCCTATGAGGTGAAGCCCATAGATCGCAAGATCCTACGCGGGTCTCAAATCAGCCAGACCCATCAGAAATTCACCTTGTTCGCCTGACAAGCAGTGGCTAGATTGCAAAATCTGGACATTGTTGTAGAGGTATGCACAAGCCTGCTCACTCTCAGGTGTTCAGGCGTCATGAACAACTCGTTCTCGTTCGTTGCCTGCTCCGCTTTCTGAACAGCCGTGCCCCTCCGCTTCGCCAGCTCCTCCTCAATGTACCGTTGCCTGCGAAAGCCAAGCCGCAGCAGGTTTGTACAGGGATGGGCTCATGGAACACCCTCAAGGCCGAATTGCAGCTCTTCAATCAGCCTTCTTAAGCGTGATTACAATAATCGGACTCGAGACCCTGTCTTGTCCAGGTAGTGACTCACTTTTCACTCCCCTGTCAGATTTTGATTACTTGACGGGAAATTCTGGCAGAAATACATTCAGGCCAAGACAACTACAACCAACAAAACGGCACAGGGTCTACAGATTTCTCCGTCAACAAGACACCTTCCAGCCATAAGCTTGAAGAACCACCCTTTAAGCAAAAGGCTCCGAAGGACCCTCACATTGCTGGATCCTCGACAGTGACAGTTGTCTCCTGCTTGAATGTATCTAGGAGGGCATGTTCACTGTCGTTGGGGGCCTCTTCTGGGGGCACCTCGGTCGCCTCCTTTGCCTTTGCCCCCGTCCCTAGTTTCTCTGCATCAATGCCCTTTCCACGCTCCCTCAGCCGCTGCAAGTACTTGGTTTCTTCCAGGGCAGACCTACAATGGGCGCAGCCATAACTTAGCTGAGGTAGTTGGTTGTTCTCCTCCTATGTCCCCAGTCTAGGAGGAAGACCATGTGGTGATTGACACAAGGTTTCTGAGCAACATCAGGAGTATAGTAGAGCTTTCGGATGGTGCAAGGATTTCAGAGTGACATAAGGTGACGGAACAACGTGCTGGAGCAATGAAAGGAACTCTTCGTAAGTGTTCACAGCCAGTCCCTTAGATGTTACTTAGGAGAGTATGCTGGGGCAACTTTGTACAAAGAAGCGGATACGTAAGGATTGTCCAACCGTACAATGCTACGGCGTAATCCAGAACGACGGTGACCACTCTACTCTTTCCTTTCAGAAAGGTTTTCCAAGTTCGAACGTACTCTGAACAACTTGCATACAAGCAAGGATGAAAACTTGTAATGCAATCCAGATGCAAAGATCTGAGCAGCGGGGTGATGCACAGCCTTCTAGACTTCTGTATCAGTCTACATCAGTAAAGTATGCAGGCTTCAAAGGGCACCTGACGTCCAGCTCCTCTTCGTCATCGTCGCTTTCTGCCGCTTTCCTCTTCCGAAACTGCTTCCCCTTTTTATCAGTCGCCATGACCACTCAAAGGTGGAAGCGACAACGTGCTCTCAAACCTAGCTTTCAAAGGCTTCAATCACAGATACAGAAAGTGTGCCAGAAAAGTTCAACACTGCCTGGAAAGTTATCCTAGAGTCAGACGCCCTTTACAAGTTGGAAAATGGTCGCTTCTCGTGCTTCTCTTGTAGGTACTTTGCTTGCAGGTGGAATTGCAAGTGCTGCCAAACCCCTGTTGATCAGTGTCAAGCCCCGGGCCCTGGTGTAAAATCTCTTGACTTGCAGCCAGTAGTGGTGTACCGGGCTCTCAATCTGCCCACAAAATGGATTTTAGCTTGAACGGTGCTTTTGGACAGACACCGGGGGAGCGCATTCACAGGTCCAGAAGTCACTGCAGGGATCTGCTCTGTGACGTCTCTGCGATTGTCGCGGGGCCCCTCCTCCAAAAGGCAACTCAGCACGCTGATTCAAAGTGTTTGTGGAGTTCAGCTTGCTTGAGGTCTTGGATGTAGGGAGACGCACAGAGTTGGGGAATAGATAGTTTCCTTTGTGCAATTGCCAATGCCAGCCAGCTCCGGGAGCTTGGGAGGGGCAGCATTCCTGGTTGGAATATGTGTTGAGCGGAAAGTGGCTTGATTGATGGTCGTGCTTCTGCGCACAATTAGTTGCGATGGCTGCGGCGCAAGTCTTCAGGCAGGCCATCAAGTGAGTGACTTTTCTCAAGCGGGGTATGTGTAGTCTTTTGATGTAATGCAGAAAGAATCGATGGCGTATGGAACAAAGACTTTCTTGTCCTGTAGTTTTCACCGCCAATGCCAAGTTGTCACCTCTGATTTCTGGCGGACAATAATCAGTCGAGCTGCTCAGTAAGAAAGTATGTTGCTAGTGGTGGTAATTATGGATGTTCCAGATCTCACCACCTGCACGCTAGGCTCTTATAAGGCAGCATTCAGCAAACAGAGAAACCTGTTCAGGGGGTGCGCTCGATAGAAGGGGATTCAATTGGGAATGGTCAAGAGCATAGGCTTGGCTTTTGAGGGGTGTGGAAGAAAGTGAAAACATGTACCACTGCACATGCTTGTCTGCATTGTAAAGTTCTGCCAATTGTTGAGCTCAGACGCTGACCTACTTGTTGGCAGAATTTTCTATTCAGCAAAAGCAAGATCTAGTCACTATCAAATCAGCCCACAAGTACCTACTTTCACATGGTGATCGTTAATTTGCATCTGGAAGATGGAGAATTTTGTTTAGAGATTGCCTTCTTGATCCGAAGTGGTGGAAGTGGTGGCGCTCGTTCAAAATTGCAGGCCATGAGAGCGAGGTTTCAGAATTTTTTAGTCGCTTTTGAAACCCCGCTTTGAAAAGTCGTTTTGTATTTCCTGCAGAGCCCTGTGTCCCCGCCTGTCCTCCCTGCTCGATGCACCAGCCTCAGCCCTGCGGCCCCTTTCCAGCGTTGCTGCAACACAATTAGCGGAGCCTTCGCCGGAGCCGCTGATTCCTCCTGTCGATGATCAGGGTGCTAGCTTTCTTCGCGACACTTCTCATATAGAACGACGAGCGGGTTTGGCAGCAAGGGAGCAGCCTCATCGAACTGACTTTGAGCGCCAAGATCCAGGACAACAACCTGCAGAGAGTCGCTCATTCGGAAGGACTTTAGACGCTCAACTTGAGCGCGGGGGGGACGTGGCCAGCACTTCCGGACAGTCGTTTGAAGGGGCTGCGGCGTTGCACAAGAGCGAAGGGGTTGCGAATGACTCTGTCGAGTCGCAGGATTTGAAGCGGGTGTATCGACGGGTCACTGCAGCAAATGTAGATCCTGAACACTTCTCCGAGGTAAAATTCTGCGTCGTCGGCTGTTTGACCCCCTGAACACAGCTTCCATGAAGGGGCCGAGCCACGTAAAAGCAATGATTGCAACAATTCCCGGAGATTTTGCCAATCTGTTTAGTGCCTCTAGATACACTTACTGTTCAACAGTTACGCACTATGTAGGTCGAAGCACTGTCTGTGTTGATCGATAGATGTTTTCAGGACAGACTGCCCCGTGTAGTCCTCCCACCCACACTTCGATATCGTCCAAATTGCGTTCCTTGTATCCTGTTTGAATCAGGGGATCCTATTGAATAGTGGGAACTGCAACAGATTTGAGAACAAGAAAATACTCTTTGGAGTCAACAACATTCTATCCTCGTCAACAATGGTTCCTGTATAGCGCAAGACATCATCGGCATTCCCTCTAGACTCCAAGACTTGGCGACTTATGTTCATGCCAGCTTTCTGTTCCCGATCTTCATCCCTGAAACGAAGCCTGCTGTGCTAACCAACCTGCCCGCACTCCAAACTTCTAGCCCATCCACTCCGCCTTGCAACAATCATGAAAGAACTTCACTCTTGCAGAGGCGCGGCAGGGGATCCGATCGGCCGAGAGCCTCCCCCAACTCCCCAAAACTCTCGCTGATAAGGGACGGCGAAACCGCATCGTTCCTCAAGCGCAGCGACATTGACCCATCCTTCCAGCACGCCCTTCCCCCCGACCAGAACCAGTATGTTGAAGCGATAATCACGCACATGGCCCGGATCGAACCGCCCGAGGTTGAGGAGTACCTGGCGAAGAACTTGGGGAGGCTTGATGCGCGCACCATGTTCTTTGTCGTCATGCGGCTCGCGCGAAGGGGCTATGGCTGGCGGGCGTACGAAGTAAGAGCGCTTTTGTGCGTCCTATTTCCAGGATTTGAGCGTCTCTAAGATTTCAAGTGTTGGATTGGTTTGATCTGCAGCGGCAGTGCACTTCGACAGCTGAGCACTCATGCTTCTAAGTGCCAACTTATCCTTGCTAGGTCGATCTTACAAGCAGACCTGCGAATTGCCTCGAGCATCGTTCCTCTTCGCATCGGCTTACTTTCTCAGTACTACGGCAGAAGCTTTGCAATCACGACAATTTGGGAGGGACTACGAAGTTCACTGTCAAGAAGTGGGACAATCAAGCAGGGATGCGTTACGTGTGCGGCGCAGAGTGTGCAAAGGCCACCACTTGGTTCCCTGTTGATGACCTGTGCAAGGACGCCGTTGTCTTGAAAGATACAAAGTGATCTGTGAACGGCGCGGTCGTCAGCCATTCAAGAAACCGTCGACCCCACACTATGGTTCAAGTGCCAAGGGGATTCCTCGTCGTCCCGCCTTTCTGCCACGCTACTGTGTAAAGCAAACGTCCGCAGTCCCCTCGCTGATGGTCCATCGCCTGCATGTTGACTCAGCTTTCGCTCCTACCTCCTTGCCGGCGTTTCATCTTCAATCAACTGACACGGCTCTCGCGCCCTCGCCCTTTCCAGGTCCTCAGCTGGTACCGCCAGCAGGAGTTTTACGTCGCGGACCCGACCCTGTACCACATGTGCATCTACGCGCTCCAAGAGGAGGACCACCACCTGGGGTGGAAGTACTTCCGCGCGCTCGTCTCCGACGGTTGCGGCACCTCGCACACCGCGTACGTCAAGCTCCTGCGCTTCACCTCGCAGAGCAGCGCCTTCTGGCGCTCCTTCGAGATGCTGGAGGAGATGCGGCGGCACGTGCCCGGGCGGCCCGACGTGCGCGACTTCAACAACCTGCTGGGCAACCTGCTGCGCTCGCGGCGGCCGATCCCGTGCGAGAAGGTGTTCCTGAAGATGAGCATTTCGGAGGTGAGCCCTCCGGGCAGGGCTTTGTGCCGTCGGGATCCATGGCTTGGTTGCAACGTCTAGTCCTCGGGGACCTTGGTCGAAGAGTATCTGCTTTGTTTGTAGCTTCGTTGGAGTGAGGGTGCCGAGACATCTTAGTCGGGCTTATGATGCAATGCTTCGCAACCCAATGTTAAAAGTCCAAAGGCTTTCTCCTGTAACTTTGCGGAAAAGCGGCCGAAAATAGCTCGTACACAAGATGCTGCAAGCCGCTACATTCTCCCTACTCACGTTCAAAGCGCTAAACTTCAAAGGTCAACAAATGAGATCTCCCTTTTTTCCACGCAGGGCAACTTCGGCGTGGAGCCCGACATCGTGAGCTACAACACGCTCATGTCGTGCTACGCGCGCGAGGGCCACTACCGCAAGGTGGAGGCGCTCCTGGTGCAGATGCAGCGCGCGCACATCGAGCCCGACTCGTACACGTGTTCCACCGTCGTCCAAGCATATGGCAAGGCGAACCTGCTCGTCCGGGCGATCCGCGCGTTTGAGGAGATGCGCGCGGCGGGATACCGTCCGAACCTGATTGTGTACAACTCCTTGCTGACGACGCTGGCCAAGGCGATGATGCCCAAGTATGCGGACAGGGTGCGTGTTGCAGCCAGTTGTCTGTTTTCGAGAGCGCTTTGGGACGTCTCGAAATGCTTTCTTGTTGTATGTAGGAGACCGCTTCAGGCGGTTCTTGAGCGGTTCATCAGGGGATTTGGATATTTGACATGAGACGATTCTCGGAAGATTGCTTCTTACAAGGACGAGGTGCGTTCTGAAGCCAGGGCTTCACAGTCCCCTGACGCTCTGTGGCACGGGTCGAAACGCACGTTTGACGAGGAGCGTCGAGAACCTTTCAGGCGATTCATGAGCGATTTCGAGACCGTTTCGGGACGATTAGAAATAGTTTCTAGTAAGCCGACAAGCGAGGCCATTGCAGACGCTTCATGTTGCAGACAGCTTTTGCGACCAGATTTGAACCCCTTTCAAGCTGCTCTGTATGCTATTTTTGGGCGGCAGGGGTTGCAAGCCTGCAATACTTTATGACTTCTTGCTCCGGTATCCTAGGCCCGCCGCCAGGGCCAAGCATGGCGAAGAACTAGATTGAAAACGCTACGCGTGTGCAGGTTGTGAAGCTGGTGGAGGATTATGCGGCGATGATGAAGGCGGATGGATACGAGCCGGACTCGTCCACCAGAAAGGCGCTCGTATTGGCGTATTCAAAGGCGGGCATGTTTGAAAAGTCGGAAGGTGAGCTGTTCCTCAACATCGTATGCCGGTGAAGCGGTCCGTGTACAAATGGAAGCTCTTGGCTAGGCGTTAAACCCGCAGAGTCGTAAGCTAAGGCCGGGTCACTAGTGTTGCGTTCAGAGGTCCTCGTTTCGGGTTTCCGTGTTCGTCTTAATGCCTCTTCGTCCTTCTGTTCGCGTCCCCGCCACTATCTGCGCTTTGAAGAGTTTGCACCTATGACCCCGTGCTGAAGAGGCACTGTCCCTTTCACCCTCACCCTTCGGCGTTAGCACTACGTACTCTCGCATCTCTCATGCGTACTGTTGCAGTTGTCACTCATCTGTCCCGCACCTAATCACTTGCATTTTGATCACCCTCTTTTGACTTGCTTTTGGTAGTCGATGTTATTCCGCCGATACAAAGGACGTATCAGATCGTCCGGGGTGCTTTTCAAGTTTTCCATGGTTCTTTGTTGTTAAGATATACGCATCCCACCCCCGCTGAAAGGCCAACTCTTGCTTCCCCCGCAGAAATCATATCGGGCATCCAGGCCAAGGGCGAGCCGGTTCGCCCCCTCCTGTGGCACGCGTACATCACCGGGTTCGCGGAGATGGGCCGCGTCGCGGACACCATGCGGACGATCGAACGCTTCTGCGCGGAGGGCTACCAGCCGGGCTTCGTCGTCCGCAACGCCATGCTCATGGCGTACGCAAAGTCCGGCGATCTGGCGAAAGCAGAGGAGGAGCTGCGCGGGATGCGCGCGGACGGGGTCGAGCTGATGCAGGGGTCGTGCAACGCGGTGCTGGCCGCGTACTCACACGCGGGGCAGACGCACAAGATCGCGCCCTTCTTCAAGGTGGGGGCCGGAGTAGTTGTGCTTGTGCTTTTGCTCGAGCTGGCTTCTTGTGGAAATGCGTTTAGGTGGTAATTAGGCCTGCGGTGCTCGTGACCAGAAGCACAAGTCGTGTCGCCCTCCTCCTGGTTTCTGGAGAGGATCGCCAGTTTGGAATGCAAAAGGTGCTCGACTTTGAGACTGTGTCCTTCCGTCTGATCGGCACTCATTTGTCCTTATCGCGGCGTCGAACCGAATCCGTCTGATTGGCACTCATTTGTCCCACCGCGGCGTCGAAACGAACCCTTCATCCTCTTTTCTCAAGAGACTCTTATTGTGTATGATTCTTGGGTGAATCACATCCACCTCTCAGTTTCAAGTAGTGACAGGTTACCCGTGTACCAGTGACCCTCAAGTCACCTGTATTCTTTGTGACTCTCAAGCAATCTCTATTTCCCTGTGACCCTCAATCCTGCATCCCCTTGACTTTCAACACTTGAACCCTCAACTTGTAAACCCTCCGGCCTGTTGTGCAGATGATGGAGGAGAGCGGCGTTCCGGCGAGCACGGTGACGTACAAGGTGCTGATTGCGGCATACGGTGACGCGGGCCAGTTCGAAATGGTGGACGAGCTCATGAACTTCATCCGCGACTTCCAGCACGTCAAGCTTATTGCCTTTAACCAGCTCGTCAGGACCTACGCCCAGGTGCGCACTCTTAATGAACTCTTTGGGTTGTTGTGTTTTCAGTGACACCTCGATTTGCAGCTGATTCGATCCCGGCATCCGAAACTGCTTGCTGTAAGAGTTGCACCTTGGTTGAACTAGCGGGGCGGGTGTTTGGCGGCCGAGGCTTCCCCCTTTGGCACATATTGTTTGCGACTAGTACTCCTACTTGACTGGCTGGGAGCTGGTTTGTGGGTGCCTCCAGTATGGACACGTATCTATTGTATGACTCACTCTTCACGTTTTATTTTGTCTGCTGCAGGCCAACAAGATCGACAAGATGGAGGAGGCTTTTGGGATCATCAAGTACCGGAACTTCCGGCCGGGCAAGGTAATCATAGATGAGATGGCGCAGGCATACGAACGTGCGGGGCTGGAGGACAAGGCGGCGCAGTTTCAGCAACTCCTGCGGCAAGTGCAGGAACAGAACACGGACGACTACTTCGGGTTTTTGGAAGATGCGGATGAACAGCCTCCAGACGCGGATGATAAGAAGGAGGGGCAAAGAAAGGGCAGCGAACACCGTGATCAAGCGGGCTGACGGCGGACACGTTGCGGTGACCTTCTGTGTGTGCGAGTCGACCTGCATTGATGTTGGGACCCGTTGGTTGTTCTTTGACTTGTCCGCCGAACGAGCGGTTCGGCATTGTTGGCAAACTCCCTTCACGAGTCGTGAACCGCTCGTTCGGCGGACAATTCAAAGAACAAGCAACGATGCCGATACGGAGACTCGTGCTCGTGTATCATGTGAGCCCCTGGGGGTTTACGTTGCAGAAGAATGTACGTTGAAGTTGTACCCCTGTATAGTTGCTACGGGCGCACATTCATTGACGTGAGACGTGTATGTGCGTGATTTGTCGGATGACATTTAGCTGGCCGTTCGTGTGATTCGCGTGCCAATAATGTGTTGCCTGTACGTCTGATGCATATGCAAGTATGTAGATCCAAGTTCCGTATGCTTATGCTCCTTATATGTGCATGCAGGATGCATGCTCCTTTTTCAAGCATCTTATAAAAGGAGTGACCCGCTCGATTGGCACGACGTACTTGGGCCATGGATCTACACGCGTCAGACGCCGGCCAGATCGGCGCGGCAATGATGGTTTATGTCTTACAAACAATCTTCTGACGGAACAAGGACAAAGCACAGAGAATCACTTGCGGAGCTTGCAAGAATTTTCCGGACTCACTGCATACATGCAGGCGCTATCATAATGATAACAGGCGCGCGGCCTTATAAGGCGCGGCTCAGCGGCTCAGGCGGCGGCTTTACGTCCTCGAGGTACGTCGACGTCCCTTCAAGCAGCGTTAAGATTGGGTGTCCCCTCTCAGGTAAAAAGACACCCAATGGTCGGAATGGACCCCCAAAAGGGGTCGTCAGGGTGTCCGAAGGACACCCATCCGGCCAAGTCAGGGGGTCCCAAGGACACCCAATCGCCCAAGCATGTCTCAAATTTTAACCCTGATTACGAAGTAGGGGGCCAATCTTGCTTAATAACCTAGTAGATTTCTGATATATCCCGAACTTGAATATCTTTATTTTAATGTATCAGACCTTCGACACTGACGGTAGTAGCCTTGTGACGGGCAGCTCACTAGCAACCGGAGTCGGTACAGCGCTATTTTAGCTGAAATGTTTTCCTGGGGCTAGATTCGGTGCGACCACTGGTTGAGGGCATGACTGGGGCAAAGTCTGCACGGAGGCAACTTGGACACCCAAAAGGGCCTTGAAAGGCATCCTCTGCCAGGACACCCGAGGACACCCAATCAAGAACCCTGGAGAGTCCAAAAGACGCCCAATGACACACCGCAGGATGTCCCAGGACTCCCAATTCAAAAAGTTGTGCTGGTCCCTTGTGTATACGTACAATCAAGCTATAGCTCGCCTTCGATCGATCAATCACAACGTCAGTCTCAGAGCGGCCGTCTTTTGAGACTGCGCGGCCGCGTTTGACAAGACTGAGGCTCAAAGGGGTTTGGCATTACGCATTCCCATCAATAAGAAGCATTACCGCTGTGCTTTTTTCTTCCAAGTTGCCGCCGAAAAATATGAATGCACAATGCTCAAATTCCTAGTTACCTACCTGCGGCCACCTGCGGCGCGCTGCTTGGCATTTCGTTGTGGCCCGTGCCAGTACGTGGGGGTGACTGAAGTCTAAGATCCTGGCCGCTCATTGAAGGCAAGGAAAGGAGCCTAGCTAGGATCATTTTGTCGAGCTTTATCGGTACTGCCTTAGCCTAGCCATTGGCATTGCTTCTTCACAGGTCGCGGCCCGTGGGGCGACCTCATCACACCGTTTGGGAGGACCAGTTGGACGCAACATTATTTGAAACAAGCAGAGAACATGCGTCTGCAAACAGGGAAGCGGGTCAATTTTCTGGTGTCTGTATGGTTGCCAGAATGTATTCGTGTAGTTTCTTGATTTGCCACCCGAAGAACGACAATTGAGCAAAGAGTCCAACGTCATGGTCGCGATCAGTGGGGGAAGTGGTACGGTGGCGCACCTTCTGGGACTCCTGCGGGAGCTCGGGGAGCATGTTGCGAGTGACGAAGACAATCCTGTTGAGGAGCGCTTCCGAGCTTTCCTGCCAAGGCTCCTGGAGGAGTGCTTTGTCCCTCACCAAGGTGAAGCTCCTGTTTTTGCACGGGGATTTTACAACATAAGCAGGTACACTTAAGGTGTTTCTGAGCAGTCCTGCAAAGTTCCTGGAGCTTGCCGGACAACGTGACTTTGCCAGCTTTGCAAAAAGCAGGTGTGTTTTTGAAACCACTTCCAAAGCATGAGGTGGTGAGGGATCGCAGGTCAAATACTTTTCAGAGCACAGATTGATAAGCCATGTAGAAAAATGTGGGAAAACTAGAGCTTGACTTCTTTTTCAGCATCACGTTCCCCTCAAAACTGATCGTCTCCAGCATGATCCAAACACTCAAGGTGTTCTGTCCTTCTATGCAGCAAAAGAGAGGGAGCTCTTTGCAATATCGAAGCTGCTGATCCACATTATTCAAACTTATCCTGCGATCTTCTTCAATGGTCATCGACGGGCAATCCTGCCTATCTTTGGACGAATCATCCCTCTGGTGGCAGACCCTCATCTTTGGTGAGCCTTACATTCCTTGCGCTTGCTACACCAGCGTCTCTACAAAGTCATAGGGCAGTCATGAGCGAACAGAACCTCCACCGCTCTGCTGGATGCCTGTGTTTCAAACCAGACTGTCCTGAGTAGGCCATAACAAGGTCATGCAAGCTCAATACTGCTTTACTTAAGCATTTCTCTTACCTGAACCATGCAGTATCCAACATAAGCTCCTTCTGGAGACACTGTCTACATTGCTGACCGTTCTGCGGACTGGCGATGCACCCGCATATTGCACCCTCATCTTAGATCTTGGACACCTCTTAGAAGGTGAGATCACAGGCCTCCTGCCAGGTATTGTATGGGACACATGTCTCTATGTCACCTGCCATAAGCTCACCAATGGTTGTGCATGTCATTGTGGCACGGCTTGTTCTTTGCTTTCACATGGATCAAAATAGAGGACCTGCTGACTTTCCTTCCTGTAAAAAGACAGTCTGATGCGAGATGATAAAGGAACAATCGCTCAGGTTGGGTGAATTGGCTGTGCAGATCTGGCATCGGTGGCTGCCTTCTTCTCCACTCCCAGCTGCTTCACCCTCAGCACAGCACTTTCTGTTCACTGCCTCTCAGCCTCCTTCGAATCTCTAGCCGAAGAGACAGGCCACAAGCGAGAATTTTCTGTAATCTGCTCAATCCCCGATCCATGGACGCCTCAAGAAGGCCCTGGCATCCTCATTGATGTCACGGGGGATGACAAGTGGCGCCCTTTCGCCGAGGGTGTCATCAGACTGCTGGAGCGATGTGCGGCAGAGTCTCCTCTTCTGGTGGGAGGGCTCGTGAACCCAGCGATGGTCAAAGGAATCATGAGTCTTCTTCAGTACGGCGACGGCAACCTCCACAAGGTGAGCAAGCTGTTTCGATATGTTGCAAAGATTCAATCACCTGATCGCTGTTGCATTTGTCAATGGCGTCTTTTGCCTGCATTAGATGAACTCTCAAGAAATCTTAAAAGTTCGTTATGTCATGATCCATAATTCCCAAAAGGATTCAAGAAAAGTGGAGACTGCCTGACCTAATCGTGATCAACGCGTGTAAAAACTGCTGTTGCCTCAGCTTCTTTGATGCCCAACCCGTTTTCTTCAGTAGGCTCATGATGCGACCTTCGTCGACCAGAGTTTGCCTAAATCGTACTCATCTCTTGCAGGCTTGCTTCGATGCCTTGAGGGTTTTGATCACCACCTCGAGTTGTGATCCAGAGCTCGTTCCAAGCGAGGACTGTGTTTCTGTGCTTATTGACATCCTCTCCATCAGGACAGCTGAGGGCAGACTGCCCAGCTTCAGGTGAGTTGTTGACGACGTACTCCACCCTGTATACACAGCCTGCCGGTCGGATCCTCCAAGTAGGACACGAGATACTTGCTTCAGTTTTTGTAATGTGGAAGTATGGCAGTATTAAATCGAACATTTCTGGCTCCTAGCCCTCCTAAGGTAGCTGATTGACATTATCCTTTCCATACGAGCAAGTGACAGGAGCAACCAATGATTGACATTATCCATTCCATACGAGCAAGTGACAGGAGCAAGCAAAGCGCTTCAAGATGGTGTTCTTTGATGTGCTGCCGTCGTCGTTTACAGTGCCTTCCAGGTCTTCTTGTGCTTTTCCAGACGATTGGGTACATTTCGGTCCGTGCAGGACTCCTGAGTACGACTCTTCTTTGGCAGCATGCCTGACCGCACTCGTCTTCTCTGGCCGCCCGGGCACTGTGGAGTACTCTGCACACATGCTGGTTCAGATTGTACACCCGGTTCTGCAGACAACAGAGAGTCGGGAACTGAAACTTGCCATCTGCGACGTCTTTCTCGTCGTCCTAAAGTGTTGCCCCAGCTACGCAGAGCAGCCAGAGCTGTTGTTTCCGCTTCTCCCAGTCCCTGAGATCAGCTCCCCTGTTAGTCACTGCGTCCAGCAGATTGTCGAAAGCCTGCCTGCTTTAAGCGCCCCTCTTAGCGAGCACCCGCCAGATCCCTCAGACGAGCGCTTCCCCGGCAAGAAAATAGAGGCTGAACCGGATGCAATACCGGAGCCGAAGTCCCGGTCCAAGCGGCGGAGGGTAATTCAAGAGTCTGAGGCTGATGACGCTGCAGAAAAGCCCCAGGAGGGTGGTCGGGAGCCTAGCGCAGACAGAGCATCATCTTATTCTAGCGATCGGCAGAGCATTGTGGATCGGTTCTCCTCGCACATCCTTGCTTGTGGTCCAGACGGACAAGTGACAGCAGAAGTGGGGGTTGACGGCGCCCTTACAGCGTTGCGGGTGCTCGCACGTCCTCTTTCGAGGAAGTCTGGAACCGCCTGCTGTCAGGCCCTGGAGTCCGTGATCGCTCAGTGGGTCACCTGCACAGTCAACAAGGTAAGGGCGCGAGCCTATCTGAAGCTCATAAACGCATCTCACTGTTTGTGACCCCACGAATCAACAAAGCTCTTCTGATGGATGTAACTTGCTCTTGTTCGAAACCCCGATTTGCTCATATTTTCCCCTAAGGAAACAGCGCCCCCGCTCTTTGAACCCAGCCCCACGCTCGGGCGCTCAAATTTACGAACTTACGGGATTGTTGACGACCAATAGGTGTCAACAGCAAATTGCTTCTCCTCGTGCAGAGCAACAACGGTTCCCTAGCTCGCGGCGAGCTGGCCCTCCTTGTCGAAGTGTTGGACAAGCTGCTTCTCGGGCCAGGCTCCGAGTCCACAACTGACAACGAGGATGGGGTTAAAAGTCAAATCTGGACCATTGCCCCTTTCCTGGAGTTGCTTGGGCTGCCCTGGGCGCTCATGCAAACGTGCGAGGGTCCAGGACAAGCGGACTCCTGGACCAAAATGAAAACCCGGTGCTTAAGGGTAACGGCTCAGGGAGGGAGTCAGTTGGGAGCGGGTGCGGAGCAAAGCGGGGAGCGCATTCTCAAGTTAGCCTGCAGAGATGAGGACCCGAGGGTCAGAGCGTGCGCCGCAACCGTTGCATCGCAGTTGATCGCGGAATGGAGCTTACAGACTGCAACAGAAGCAGCTGCTGAAGTGAGGTAGGTTTGAAGCCAGCCGAGGTTGCTGCTGTGCCCAGTCACAAAGTTTTTCTTAATCCTGCAACCATCTACTGAGTGAGTGCTCTGTGGTTTCTCTTACTCTGGGCTTGGTCATGGGAGGTTTTATGTTACGTTTTGTTGCTCCTCTATATTCCTGAAAGAGCATCCCGTCGCTCTAGCAAGGTTTCTTCCATGCATACAGCATAAGCTGCGTTACACTTGTCGGCTGGATACGTAAAAGAGCGTGGGCACTATTCTCACAGCGCACGGAAAGTGACACCATGCGTCTCTCATCTCCAGTGCCTTGGCAGCTGACTCGTCGGAGGTGGTTCGACATGCTCTCGCTTCGAGCGTCGCGAGGCTGGAGTGCGTCCTGTCAGGAATCAGTACAACCGCTCCAGGCGACGTTCGCGAAGCCAGCCAAGCTGCCTGCAGTGCGTGCGACACCTCCGGAGCTGGCCTGGGACTTCTGCTTCCGGTACAAGAGTGGCAGAAGATGTTCAGCCTACTGCTCTTCGAGGAAGTGTTCTCCGACGTCCAAATAGCCTTTCTGCAGACTCTGCCCACGCTTCTCAAGCACGCATCCGAGGCTCAGCTGGCGATGCTCAGGGAGACTCTCTTACGCTGCCTGGAAACGTTCCCGCTGCACGCGAGCCCCCCAGTGCGCGCTGCGTTCAGCCGGGTCGTAGGGAGCTTCGTTCCGGCGCACGTGCTGAGCGCGCTGTTTGCGAGCGGCGACCCCGACCAGAACGGAACGCGCCTTCTCGACACGTTCAAGCAGGGATTTGCGGTTACGGACGAAGTCGACGTCCGAGAGACGTTACTGTCCGGCATCACGGCGATCGCGACGGCGTCCGGCCCGCAGCGGCAGCTCCTCTTCTTCGCTCTGATCCTCCTGGTCGAGCAGCTGGACTACTTCGACGCCGGCCTGCGCGCGACCGCCGTCGAGAGCATCAAGGAGGTTGCGGCGCGGTGCTGGCCCGCGGCATCGACGGGAAGCGTCCACGCGATGGTCGAGGCGTACAAGTCGGATCTGGCGAGCTACCTGTGTGCGCGGCTGGTGACGCGTCCGGCGCTGGTTGCGGAGTTCTCGGAGGCGGTGGCGGGGGTGGGCCTGAACGTGTTTCTTAAGTACCTCGCGCCGGCGGTGCTGCCGAGCCTGGTGCTGGAACAGGACAAGTCGCTCGGGATCCTGCAGGAGCTGGCGCGCAGGCTGGGGGGCGACGTGGCAATCATGTTGATTGACTACTGTCCTCAGGTGAGCTGGAAACGATGACACCTTTGCAAATCACGCTCAAGCCGATAGGTTGCTCACAAGGACTTTGTCTGTCCTTGATCAACTCTGCTAGTATACCTGGAAGCGGCGGATTCGTACTCTCCTGTTTCTGTCACCAACAAATGGTTCTAACAGAACTTGAGTCGAGCTCCCTTGGCTTCCAAGATCAATCCTAGCCGGCCGACCTTCGGATCAGAGATCCATTGACAGCTCTGCAGAAACTTGATAATCCGAAAACTCGAGTCCCTTATACTCCAAAAAAATCATCTAGCGACGGGTGACGAAAGTGTTATCCTACGGCCTCTTGCAGGTGATGTCAGTGCTACTTTTGAAAGCAAACGGCGACCAGCTGGCGCGCGTGCTGGACTTTTACGAGGAGCATACCAGATTCAATCCAAAGAACCTCTTTGAGGGGAGCATGATCGGTCTGCTGGCTGAGCTCATGCGCTTCTTAGGAAACCGAGACACCGAGGAAGCAGAAAGAAGGTGCGTTTCGGGGGGCGCTTTTCAGCTGCACGTCCACCCTACAAGATGTTCAGACGGTCAAAAGATGATAGTGTTGTTGGGTTCCAAAGAGCGCTGATGGACCGCACTTTCTGCCTTGTCGATTGCTGGAGTCAGTTCTTTCAAATGCAGATATCAAGTTCAGATCAGTCGCCAACCAAGTGCGGTGAAAAATTATCTAGAGATTCTTTGTCGCGCACCTACACACATCCGCTCTTCCTGCTTTCCAGGTCCCACCGCGTTGCGCCCATGCTGGAGTCCGTCGCGCACATCGTGATCGACAACCCGGGCGTCAACCTGGCCGACTTTCTCAACCAGTACTTGCTGGCCATCCTCACCAACGTCGACCGCGACATGCTCCGCTCGCGCGACGCCACCCTCCGGCGGCACGCGCTCAACGCCATCGGCAGCCTGATCGTCCTCATCAAAGACCACCTGAGCAAGTTCGCGCCCAAGTTCATGAGCCTGCTCACGTGGGCGCTGCAGGAGGAGTCGGCGCGCGTGCACTGCCTGGGCGTCTGGATGACGTTTGTGAAAACGCTGGCGCTGCTCGCGCCGGGGCACCTGAAGACGATTGCCAGCCAGGTGGGGCTTTTGATACATCTGAAAGATAACAAAGAGTTTTCGGTCAAAGCTTTCCTGCCGAGGGCCCCTAGTGGTCTCGCAACTGTGTCCTCGTAATCTGCTCATCAGTCAGTCTGCTTCGAAAGAAACGACATTCGACTCGTCGGACACTGCTTTGTGAAATATTTTCGTGAACATACATTCAGTGGTCAGAAACATCTGGTAAGCCACTCAAAAGTATGCATCAAACAGTTCTCTGGAGGCTGGCCTTTCTGGTCGGTCTCCTTTTGAGACAGCTTCTCTTACTTCTGCTGCTTCCATCGAACTACGTTCCTTCTTCTCGTTTCCAGATCGTGGTCGCCATCATGCCGTGTCTGGAGAGCCAACCCCTGGCGGACAACCCGCCCTCCTCCGTCTCGACCCTCGCCCCTCCTGCGCAGCAGCGCGACGCTGACGCCGAAATCGCGAACCTCGCCGCCGGCGTTCTCACGGAGCTTATCGTCGCGCACCGGAAGCGGCTCGGGAGCACTCTCGCGGAGCTACCGGTCCTCCCGAGCATCCCCGCGCTCGCTGACGTCAACCGGGTGCTGTCCAAAGCCCGGGGCGAGCTCGGCATGCTTGACCACCTGCGTCAGGTCATTGATGGGCTGGGCCACGAGAGCCTCAGCGTGCGCTGCGCGGTGCTTGGGGAGTTCCGGCATCTGATGCGCGTGCGGCGCGTGGAACTAAACGATCTGGTGGCCCGGGGGGGTCCGAATGTGGAGAAGCTGCTGGGTTTGCTAGTGGCCGGGCTGCTCAAAGGGTGCTCGGAGGAGGCGCGCACGAAGCTGAGCAACAAGCTGAAGATGCTGTGCGCCGAGTGCCTGGGGGAGCTCGGGGCGCTGGACCCCGCCCGGCTGGTCCACGTTGAGGTGCGGCAGCCGGGCAGAATGGAGCGGCCCGACGAAGATCTGGCGTTTGAACTCGTCACGGAGCACCTCGCCAAGATGCTGCGGGCGGCGACAGATACGGAGGTCGCGGATGCGGCCGCGCTGGCAATCCAGGAGATCCTCAAGTTTGCGGGTTGCGGCCCTGAGGCGGCGGCGGCTTCGGAAGAGTCGGATGCGGGCCAGACGTCGGGAGCCCGGCTGTGGGCTCGATTCCCGGAAAGTGTGCGGGAGATCGTGGAGCCGTGCTTGACCTCGAAGTATGTTTTGAAGCGGAAGGGCATCTCGCTGCCGTCAGGGGCCCTGTTCATGCACGGCATGCCGTTCCGCAGGTGGGACCCAAGTCTTTTTTTGATTTTGGTGTAGACGCAGAAAGGACCTCCCAAAACTTTCAACTTCGGAGGCTAATCAGCAGGATGCACACGCTATTTGTTAGTTGTCCCTCTGCCTGCTCACGAACCGTTTTACTGTGGCCGGACTTTTGATGAACATGGTCCTTCGGCAGTTGGCATGTGCTGTGTAAGAGCGCTTGTCTCGTAAACCGGACATGTCATTTGCCAGTTCAGCGAGTGAGCTCTACTGCTCCAAGGGTCTGCCACTGTACTCCTTTTGAGCTTCGTTTGTGCTGCCATGCTCATCCAAACTCTCACAGCGTTTTCCTCCGTCAACTGGTCTTTGCAGGTGGATATACCTCTGGAGTCGGCGCCTCATGTCTCAGGCCAAGGGCCCACGCGCCGCCGTCTTCCTTGCGTGCGCGGGCGCCATCAGGCAGGACATGGGCACCGCCCTTTACCTCCTCCCGTACCTAGTTCAAAATGTCGTCTGCGAGGGCGACCCGGAAGCCTCCGAAGGCGTGTGCGAGGAACTCCTAACCGTGGTCGCAGAAGGGGAAGCCCCTGGAACGCCCCAACCGGGCACTTCGGAAGCAGGCACGAGCGCCCGGGGGAGTCACCCGAGCGAAGTCAGCATACAGGCGGTCTTCTCGCTGCTGGACATGTTGGGGCAATGGCTGGATGACTGCAAGCAGACGCTGAGCCACCGGGCAGCGATCCAGGCCTACAGTCGCACAGCGCCCACCGCCGCGGACGAAGAAATAACGCGCGTACTCAAAAAGCGGTCGGTGAGAGTCACCGAGCTCTTGGCGGCGATCCCGCGGCCGGCGCTCGCACGAGCTTCTTACCGCTGCCAGGCGTACGCCCGGGCGCTTATGTACTTTGAAACGCACGTGCACGGGCTCTCGGGGGGCCTCAACCCCGCGGCCGCGCCGCGCAGCGGGGCGTTTGCCGAGGATGACGTCAGCTTTTTGCTGGAGATCTACAGCGGGCTCGACGAGCCGGACGGGCTGGGGGGGCTGGCGCGGCTGCGGGGCCAGGCGAGCCTGCAGGACCAGATGCTGATCACGGAGAAGTCGGGCAACTGGGCGGAGGCGCTCACGTGCTACGAGCAGGCGCTGCAGATGGAGCCACACAACGCGGCGCGCCACGCGGGGATGCTCAACTGCCTGCTCAACATGGGCCACCTGCGCGCGGTAGTGACCCACGTGGACGGGCTGAACAGCCGCCTCCCGGACGCGCGCCAGGCGTGGTGCGCGTACGGAGTGCAGGCGGCGTGGCGGCTGGGGCAGTGGGATCTGCTGGATGAGTATCTGGAAGGGGCGTCGGCGGCTGGCGAGCCGCAGGGGCCCGGTCCCGCGGCTGGGAGCGTGGAGAGCCCCTGGTCGGCATTTGATCTGAGCCTGGCCAAGAGCTTGCAGGCGCTGCAGCGGAGGGACCGGGGAGGCTTCACCGAGCAGGTGAGTTGGGGTTCGTGTGGGGTTTGAGTTACCATTGCCCATCATTCAGAAGACGTACGAACGGGTGACGGTTCGAAAGATCATTACGTACGAATCTTTTTGCCTTGTCGGGTTTCTTGTGGAGCTGAACTCATGTATATGGAATCTATCAGCAGATATTCCACTCCCAGCGCTGAACATACAGAATCTTTCTTGGCAGCACCGACCCCGTCTTTTTACCTCACTTGCATGCCTTTGGCCACTCAGCAACTCCACAATAATTTTCACATTATAAAGAGCTTCACGACATTTCCGATGTGTCGCCACCGTCTCTGACCTCCCTGCAGGTGCGCTCCGCCCGGCAGGCCCTCCTGCATCCCCTCGCCGCGGCCAGCATGGAGTCGTACACGCGCGCGTACCCCCTCCTCGTCAAGCTCCACATGCTGCGGGAGCTCGAGGACTGCAATCCCATCCTCGCGACCGCTTCCGCGACGTCTGCAAGCGTCGCACTCCCAAACCAGAACCCTGTGGGCCCAAGCACAAGCGGGGCAATCCTGCAAGAGTCCGCTCTGGCAGCGGGGATGAAGGAGGCGACGCAGGACTGGGAGGACCGGCTAAAGATCACCCAGCCCAGCCTATGGGCCAGGGAGCCCATCCTGGCGTTGCGGAGGTGGGTGTAGGTCGACCTGGAAAGGTCGTACTATTGAACTTTGGTGGAACTGAGGAAAAGCAATTGGTAGATTGCAGTAAGAGCCGTACATGGAGCTCTCGGGGGCGACGACTTGGTTGAAGTTCATCGTATTTTCATCTATCAGCCGCCCCTCTCCGCCCCTCTATGACGGCCATAAGGGCCGAAACATCTAGCTGGCAGCCTGTTTTCCCCAGCCCCCCACCCGTCGTATTTTGGTTTGGTGTTGCATCTGCCCTTGAAAAAATGGTGGACTATAGAGGGAAGCGTTTACACTTTCGCGGTTCTATCTTTGACACCGATATGAAATGAAGTGTCCGAAATCTCCGAACATTTCATTGAAAATCTGCATCCACCTTGAGCCGAAACTTGTGAAGCTTTCGCGTCTCTCTGCGCCCACAGGATTGCACTGGAAGAACCAGATTCGGTCTAGAAACAGACACTTGTCTTCTCGCACAGGCTCGTGTACAGCACCGCCGGCATGACGTCCGAGGTGAGCGCCAGCTGGCTCCAGTTCGGGCGCCTCTGCCGGGGCGCCGGCCACTACGAGACGGCCTCCATCGCCGTCCTCGAGGCGCAGGCCCACGCAGCCCCCGGCGTGCACCTGGAGATGGCCAAACTTTTGTGGGCGACCAAGAAAACCCACCGGGCAGTCTCCACGCTGCAAGAGAACCTGCTGCACGCGCCCCCCGAGGTCCTCGGGGTCGCCAGGGACGCCGCCCTGGGCGGGGTGCACGTGCCCACCGCCGGAAAGGAGCGACCCTCGTCGGGGAGCGTGAGCATCGTTCCGTCCGCCGGGGCGAAGGACTGCACGGAACACGAGATGGACAGCAAGACGCTGCTGCTGCTCGCGCGCTGGCTGCACCACACGGGGCAGAAGCAGAAGGAGGACGTCATCGCGTGCTTCAAGCGCGTGCGGGACCTGCGGCCGCGCTGGGAGAAGAGCTTCTTTTACCTCGCCAAGTACTACGACGACCTGCTCATGGACGCGAAGAGGCGGCAGGAGGCGGAGGCCGCTGGGCAGGTGCGCGGGAGTGCACTGATCTCTGCCACGGAAGACGCGAAGCTTGCTTCTTGTAGGCAATTGAAACGTGGAGAAGCTTTCTATCGCATCCCTCTCGGTGTTGGCGTATTTTGTTCTGAACTGCGTTTCGGACTTGTGAGGGCATGCGAGTCCGAACATACGGTTCGCATGCTTTTCAATCAGGTCTGCTGTTTATCGTAGTGACAGAAGCTGCGACAGTTAGCAGAAGCAGCGTCGCGAACAGGAGTCTCCCAATCTGTTTCAAAGGGAAGCTCGTCTTATTCTTAGCTCTTTAAAAGGCTCGGCAGATTGGTTTGCATATCACCTCCCATATCACCTCCCCGTTGTCTTCCTACAGGCCGCCCAGAAAGGCCGCAGCAGCGCCCTCGAGGACGACACGCCCTGGTTTGAGTACGTGACGGAGACGGTCGTCAACTACGCCAAGTCGGTTCACAGGGAGCCACGTCACCTGCACCACGCGCTGCCGCGGCTGCTGACGCTGTGGTTCGAGTTCGGGAGCACGTTCAGGGGGCAGACCCTCAAGAAGAACGCGCGAGCCAGTTTCGTGAATCAGAAGGTAAGGGGGATGTAGCGGTTTTCTGCAATGCTTGTCACTCCTTGTTTCCACGCTTTACTTCACAGAATTGCTTCCCGGATCTTCTGTCTGCTCCGCATGCTGACGTCACCTCTATCTCTCACCTGATCGCTCAGCCCCCGCGCAAGGCAGAGGCGATGCTAGGCGGCGCTCTTGCATCTCGATTTCCTGTTCTGCTGAAATCCCCTCCGCTCCCCTGCTAACGTCATTTCTATCGTTCATCCTTGATATAGCCTCACAAGATCATGAACGGGTGCCTGCGCGACCTGCCGACGCTTGGCTGGCGGCGCTCCCGCAACTCAATCCCTACCTTGGCTGACTTTGACCTATCCGTTAGCCATCACCCATGCCCCTGACCGAAAGACCGAAGGCGACTCCAGAAACCCTTCGCTTCCTTGCTGACGTCACTTTTTCCCTTCCTGCTTACGTAGCTGCACAAGATCATGAACGGGTGCCTGCGCGACCTGCCGAAGCACCTGTGGCTGGCGGCGCTCCCGCAGCTCATCTCGCGCGTGTGCCACCAGAACGAGGACGTGGTCAAGCTGCTCAAGGCCATCCTCACCAAGGTGGTGCAGACGTACCCGCAGCAGTCGCTCTGGTACATGGCCTCCGTCTCCAAGTCGATCGTGGCCGCGAGAAAGGAACAGGTAAGAAGGCGCGATTATATTAAAAAGATTAAAGAGAAGCACTGCGATCTCAAGCAGCGTCTCTGGCGTTGACCTTTTGGAGAGAAGGTCGGAGTGGATCAATTTAAGGACAGGTTCCTCTGCTGAGTTGGTGAATTATGCTCACATGAGTACCCTTCTGAGAGAATTGTCCGATGGAGCTCCAAAGAATGTTTAACGAATCGTGAGCATCAGTCCAATCAAAAATGAACCCGGAAAGTTTGGCTGAGCATTCGAGCTGGTAGGCCTTACTCATAATCACCGCTCCTTTGCAGGCCAACGAGATCATCCTGTCCGCCAAGCAGAACGTCCCCGACTCCGCGCGCGCGCTCTTCCCCCAGTTCGCCTCCCTGACCGACGCCATGATCAAGCTGTGCTTCCACGGGGGCGAGTCCAAGACCAAGGCCAAGACCATCAGCATCTCCTCCGAGTTCGGGCACCTCAAGCGGATGATGCCCGTCAACGTCATCGTGCCCACGCAGCGCGCGCTGACACTCCCGCTCGCGCCCGACGGGTCTGCGGCCACGCAGCGCGACCCGTTTGCCGCGGAGGCATACCCGACAGTGGCCGGGATCCGGGACGAGGTGGAGGTGCTGGCGTCACTGCAGCGGCCCAAGAAGGTGAGTGTGACGTCATTTGCTGGTTGACAAGCGGCGGGCTTGGACACGTCCTAGAGAGCAATGAAGGTTCGTTCTGCTGACACAGTTGAGTATGACCCCTCCTTTCTGTTGAGAGCTTCCATTTCCGGCTGTCGGAAGCGTTTGAATTGACATGAATGAACAAGTGGATGTTAGGGGGTCTGCAAAGAAGGCAAAGGGGAGCCTAGGCACCGTGAACGATTTGTAACGCCTTTTCCAGAGACAGTTTGTCCTGCTTGGTTCTGTTGGCAAGGTGTAGAAGCAAGACGGGAAGACATGGAGAACAGCAGTGCAACTCAGGATTTGACAAGCCAAGGACGATATGAGAACGTTCACTATACTCGCAGGTGGTTCTGCTGGGCTCCGACGGGCAGTCGTACCCGTTCCTGTGCAAGCCCAAGGACGACCTGCGCAAGGACGCGCGCATGATGGAGCTGACCACCATGATCAACCGCCTCCTCTCCAAGGACCCCGCGTCGCGCCGCCGCAAGCTCTACA